GGCAGGTACGCAGCCTGAGGCTGTGAGAGGAGGGCATTCGTCACCTCCGCGCTGGCTGCCGCAGGTGACTCTGTCCTCCAGGCTGTCCTGGCTTCAGCACAGCCGCCTGGGCCCCCTTGGAACAGAAGCCCAAGGGGAGGGGCTGAGAGTGGGTGAGGAGGGCCCTCCCGGCTCCTGGGGCTCTGTGAACCATGTGACACCCCGCATCATTTGTAAGGTGCAGGCACAAGGCTTGGGGACACCAAGGGGGGTCCTGACACTTTTCAGAGCCCTGGCACAGAAGTGTCGCAGTCACCGTGCAGAGTGACCCTCAGCGTGGACGGCAACACCTGCCTGAGTCTGGGAACCACCGTGACGGAAAGCTGTTTGCTCAAGTCACCCCTCAGGGGTGTGCGTGTGGGCGTGCGTGTGCCTGTGCGTGATGTGCGTGTGAGTGGGGAGGGTGTATGTGGACTGTGTGTCTTCTGAGTGTGTGCACGCACGTGTGGTGTGCGTGTGTCTGGGTATCTGTATTGCCCACCCTCCCTCTCGGGGTGTGCGGGGACGTCCTTGGGGCCTCACAGCACTGCCTGGGCAGGGAGGGCAGGTCTGTGCGGAGACCGCGGGGCCTTGGACAGCCACGCCTGCACACACGCGCCCAGGCTCGCACCTGCGCCATGGCTCTGCTGAGAGGGAGGAGCGGCGCCAGAGGGAAGGGGGCCTATTGCACAACAAGTGTGTCTGAAGCCTGTGGATGGTGTGGGCACCCAGAGATGACAATGACTTGAGGCCTGGAGAGCAGCAGGCATGGGGACACTTAAATCCCTGTCACTTCAGTCATGTTGACTTCCTGGCCCAACTGGAGGCGGCGCAGCGTGTCCCTGCCCTGATGGAGGGAAGTGCACAGTGACCGAGCGCCCCGGAGGCTGTGGCCAGCCCGGGGTGTCGGGGCCAGTGGGAAGCTGCTCGCGGACAAGGCCTCAGGCTCAGGCCAGCCTCGGCTCTGTGGGGTGAGGCGGGGTGAGGGGGGCGGGTCCCCGGGGGCTTTCTCTGGCGGCAGGTGGGGCTGCTGGTTAGAGGGTCTCAGAGTCCCCGGGTCCTCACACTCCAGCGATGTGGCCTGCAGGGGTCCTGGGCCCCGTGCACACGTGACCCCAGAAGATGCAGGCAGAGACGGTTGAACAGCCCACAGGGAGGGTCCCAGGATCAGAGAGGAGGCTGCGTGGTGTGGCCACGAGCCAGAGGACGCCGGGGCTCCCAGGAACTGGAGGAGGCAGGGAGGGAACCTCCCCTAAAGCCTTGGGAGGGAGTTTGGTCCTGCTAATGCTTTGATTTCAGACTTTTGGCTTCCAGACTATGAGAGAACAGACTTCGGTTGCTTTAAGACCCCCCCCCAGCCCCAACACACACACCTGATCTGTCCTGCTTTGTTTTGAGTGGCTTAGTGAGGCCACCTGCCCTGCAGCGTGCAGAGCCTTTGGGGGAAGGGGGATCTTTCATTAGGGGCGGGGCCTGGGACTCCCACTCTGTGGGGCTCAGGCTCTTGACCCCAGGAGGAACAGCACAGCCCCAGTGAGACCAGGGCCAGGGCCAGGGCCAGCCAACAAGGGACGCTATCAGCTTGTCCTCGGCAAGGGGACATCCATATGGAGCTCCAGGCTCAGCTCATGTCGCAGGGCTCCTCCCAGAGCTGCCTCCTGGGATCCCACCCTCCCAGGACCACCCCACTGTCTCTCGTGTTCCCAACCAAGGCTCAGCCCCAGCCCACGCGGGAGCAGAATGGCTCCAGGCTCTTCCAGCTCAGACAAGCTGGGGCCTCTCATGGGCCCGATCCCCACTGAGCTGTAAGCCATCTGGGGGTCTCTCGCTGGAGAGGAGGGAGAGGTCACTCACAGCCGCTGGCTAGAGGGCTCTTCTGTTCGGCCTCTTCCTTCTGGAGTGTCACCCCCTCCAAGCAGTCCTCCCTGACTCTCTTACCTAAAGCTGCACAAGCATGGCTTCTCATTACACTCTTGTGCACTCTGCACAGCACTCGTCTGGTGGGCAGTGTGTCTAGTGCTCAGGGCATGTACTCAGGGTCCAGAGCACCTGCCTTGGGTCCAGCTCCTGTGTGATCTTGAGAAAGTTGCCTAACTTCTCTGTGCCTCTGCATTATGGTGGTCCCGGTTCCAAGGTTTAGCGAGGTAAGGATCTCAGAACAGTGCTGGAAAAAGGAAGCTCAGCGGGCACTGCAACCCCAGGAGGGTATAGACCATGGACTTGCAGAGTGAGGGTGCTGCACCCGGCACCCCCCGCCTCAGGGTGCTGCCCTGGAGCATGTGAGTGGGTGAATGACCTGGATCTGCTGCTTCCCAGACCTGCTCGTGTCCGTCCCCCGGGAGTTACAGAGAACTGCCTGGAAAAGCAGCCCTGCAGCCCCTGACTCTGTGTTAACAGACCCCGCCCGCCCCAGTGGGCCAGCATTCCAGGGTCCCTGGCCCAGAGCGAAGCTGGTGGACGCAGAGGGTGGGCCTGGCCTCTGGCAGTGCGGACACCTGCTTGTGCTTCCCTGTGAAATTGCAGGAGAGCGAAGAGACGGTCGGGGGGGGTGCAGGCACCCCTCAGACAGATCACAGGGAGCCCTCCCCCAGCCCTCCTTCCTTCCCACTCAGCTCCCGACTGTGTTCCAAACACAAACACTTTGAGGGGCTCCTCTTGAGCCCGGGGGACTCAGGTCCCCCAGGGAGGTGGTACAGCAGGTTGGCATTTGCACCTCAGAAAACACCGAGCAAAGCCCCTGGATGCCCCATGTTCCCACTGCCTCCTTCCCCAGAAAAGGCGGAGGGCGGCCACCTCAGGCTGGCTCCCCAGGGCAGCAGGAAGTTGTCCAGCTCCACGGCTGACCTGCTGTCTTAATGACCGACGTGGCCACTTGGCAGCCAAGCCGGCTGGCTGTGACTGTAAAGCCTGGTGAACAAAGCAGACCATTAAAAAGCGATACGGAGGCGCTTGCCCGCACCCCAGGCAGACGAGCTGGAACGAGGCAGGCACGCTGCTTGGCAGGACAGCCAGGTCTCGCGTCCTCGTTCACAGGCTGCGGGCAGGACTGGAGGTTTAGGGCCTGACGGGCGGGGAGCAGACGGGGCTGAGTCACAGCAGATGAGAGGTCACATTCTGAGGAGAAATTAGGTGACCCACATTGTCCCCAGGGTTCCCCTCCGTGGTGGAAGCCTCTGAGGACCCTTCCCACATGCAGTCCCTCCACTGCCTCATCCATCCATCCATCCATCCATCCATCCTTCAGGAGCCAGGCACTGTCCAGGGTTCTGGAGACACAGTGACGATCCAGCCACAGCCCCTGCCCCATGCAGCTGAGGCCAGGGCAGGGACTGCAAACCCAGATGGCCAGCAGAGCCGGGCAGTGATGTGAGGCAGCGGGCGGACAGCTTGTGGAAAACCACAGGAGAGCAGTATGGTGCGTGACAGCGGACCTGCAGGCCTGGCTGTGCCCCTCAGGGCCCTGGCTCTGGACGCCTGGACCCGGTAAGTAAGGTGGTGTGGTGACTGGGGCTTGTAGAGAGAAACACACAGGAGCGTAGGTCCTCTACGGGTGTCACCCCAGGCCCCGAACCACTAAACACAGAGGCAGGGCCAGGAACGTGGACTTTAAAGGCTCTGCCGGAGGCTGTGGTGTGAACCCCCACCCCAGGGAGCTAATGGGCCACAGGCCCCCACAGCCATGCTGAGACCCTCTGCCAAGGCCACATGGACCAGCTTTGTGTCCTTGGACAGCCCTGGCGCCACCTCCAGGCCTTGTTTTCTGGAGAAAAGGGGGAACTGGGGCCAGAAGTCCTCCAAGAACCTTCTGGCTCTCGGCCTCTGCCCTGGTTTCTGGCCTGGGACCCAGGCTCTGCCTGCAGCACCAAGGCGTATGCGGAGCCGAAGCCAGGAGCTGCTCGATGTGAGCCCGTGCAGTCTCCTCACCCGCCCCCCAGCCGTCACCCCTAGCTTGTGCGGTCCTTGTCACCCTGTGCCGTCTCAAACGTCCAGGGGGCCTCTGTGTGGCACCTGCCGGGGAGAGTGGTCGGCTCAGGCTGAGTCATGGCCTGTTCTGCTGCCCTGGAGCCTGCGGTCTCCACCTCTGCAGTGGGCCCCCCCAGAGAGGAGCTGTGGACAGGCAGACAGACAGACAGAGCGGGTAGAGGACCCGTGAGCTCAGCTCCCACGTGAACCAGCGTAACAGCTGCCAGCCTTTGAAGGCATTTCTGGAAAATTCAGGCTGCTCTGAACGGGCTGGGGTTTACTTTAAACGTGTGCTTCTTCGTTGCCAAGGCTGTCAGTTGCCCAGAACCAGAAGCGACCTGGGGAGATGGGGGGGTGGCGACCAACAACACGTAACCCGACGTGGTGGGGGCTCCCCATGGTCTTCCGCCCTGTGGCTGAGCCGATGGGCACAAAGCTGTCTGTGGGGTTCTCCCGGGAAATCCACAGCCTTTTCGTTAACACAGGGGACATCAGAAAGGGCTCTTATGGGTGAATGCCCGGTGTTCACGATGCGAGGATGCCAAGAGTGGTTCAGAGCTGGTGCCCACCTGTGGGCAGTGTGCAGGCCTGAGGAAGTGCCCGCCTGTGGGCAGTGTGCAGGCCTGAGGAAGTGCCCGCCTGTGGGCAGTGTGCAGGCCTGAGGAAGTGCCCGCCTGTGGGCAGTGTGCAGGCCTGAGGAAGTGCCCGCCTGTGGGCAGTGTGCAGGCCTGAGGAAAGCATCCAAGCAGGCCTGCCCCTGCTGAGTCCTGTGTCCCGTGCTGGTCGGAGTGTCCTGCAGGCTGGAGCTCCAGCCTCAGGGAGCTGGGCCCCTCCCCGTGGTGGCCGGAGCACCCATGGTACAGACTGCAGGGCATCAGTGGCTGCAGAGCCGATCAGGGCTGTTTCTTACCTGCTCGCTGACACAGGCCAACTCCCAAAGCATCTCTGCTCAGGCAGCAAGATGGTATGGGTCACAGCTCAGCCTGCTTGCCTTCTGGGGCCACTGTCACCACAAGAGTTGTGCCTGACAAAACAAGCTTAGGTCCATTCACATTGTCACTGTCCTCACCCGGGGGAGCCCCTGAGGACAGGGAAGGGGGCTGAGGCTTGTCCTGGAGTCAGAGCCCCAGGGAGCCACGGGCCAGTGGGCCTGACCCTGGGGCTTCATCTGGCCCTCACTGGTTCTCCATGATGGAGAGGAAGTAGGGGCGGACAGCGGGCTGCCCGGAGCTGACGCAGGCGCCCCTCCGCCCCCCTCCCTCCCGGCGGTCTCCAGTGTTTGCGCAAATGCTCCAGCCGCCACGCGCTGCTCTGCCACGGATGCTCCAGCCTCGTGGGTCCCCGTGTCACACCCCGCTGTGCACAGTGACACCCCACCCCCTCCACACCGCGTGGACCCCACCCACCCCCAACTCCACAGCGACTGGGGCCGCAGCTGGCTCCCAGGCTCCCTGAGACGCGTCCTCACCCTGAAGAGTGTTTCCAGGGTCGTCCAGTCTCGGTGGAGCTGCTCGCTGTCCCCTGGGTGACTCTCCTCACAAACGCTGCCATCTGGGCGGGGTGGGGGAGGTGGGGGAGGCCGCAGGGCCCCCTGTGCAGGGAGAGGTGAGTCTTGTCTCAAGAGGGGCCTGTTGAGCCGTGCCTACTTCCCTGCACCCTCCCCCCACATCTCGCCTCCCCACCCACACCCAATCACAAACTTGCATCCAGCTTTACGAGCTGGAAATTTAACATCAAAAATCCTTCCTGCTACTTAAATTTCTACCTTAGGACCCGGAAAGACGAGCAGATTTTCTCCCCCTGTTTTACGCTGAGCTGATTCAAGTGGGCACGTTGCCAGGGTGAGTGAGCATCACCGGGGAGCCTCTTCCCGCCGCCTCAGGGCGATGCGTGAGAATTTCACAGCCTCCTCCATCTGGCCAAACACAGCCCCGAACGGCCTGAGGATGAGCCCAGGGGCACGGTCTCCTTGGTCTCCTCCGGAGGCGGAGATGTCTGGAATTGCGTAGAGCAGACGCTGAAAGCATCACAGGGCTAGCGCTCCCCTGAATGTATTTTATTGTTTTAATCTAAATTGGTTCTTTTGAGAAACGAGATGCAAATCTCATGGTGTGCCCCTTTCATGTGCGGGAGCTCTAATTACGTGGTATTCTGTAAGTGCCTGAAAAATTATATTTCTAATTCCTCCAGAGGCCCATCATGAAAGAGCTTGTTATAACTACGGGCCTTCCCCCAGGATGTAGGCACTGCGGGGGGTGGGCAGCGTGAGCAGCTTCCTGTGAGGAGGGGCCTTGCAGCCTTCAGCATTTACAGCTCAGCCTGGAGCGTCCGCTCGGGGTGTCTGCGCCCTGCACTGGTGATGCAGTTCTAGCTTTTGCAGGCCAAGAGGGCAGGGACCATCTTGCCACCCACAAATTCATCCCTGCAGGATTGGGCCATCTCGCCAGGCCCAGAGCAGATAAAGGGCCTGCTCCACCCCAGCCCTGGTGTGCAGAGAGGGGATGAGGGGGTGCCCACAGAGGAGGCAGAGCCGTCTGGAAACCCGTGGCTGCAGAGAAACGGCTGAGGACTGTGTCCCTCCCTGCTCCCATTTCCTGTCACCTTTGGAGGCCGTGTGTCTGTCCTTCATGGCCTTCTCCCAGCTCTGGACAGTCCTTTGCTGCTAAGGGTCTCAAGAATGCCAGGAGGTGAATCTTGCCACTGGGCAAAATGTTCCTTTCATCTGGGATTCCTTAGAAAGAGTTCTGAGCCTCACAGAGGGATGTGGGGTGCTGAGGGGATCTTGTGAAACTCTGAAATCAGAGGAGACTCTGAAATTGGAGACACTGAATTGGAGGAGGAGCTCTGAAACTGGGGAGACGGTAGGCGTTAGCACAGGGTGGTAGGTCACCTTGAGGTCAGATGACAACACCTGGCCTCTGCTTCCCGGTTCCACACTGCGTACAAGTCAGCCTCAGCTCAGCAAACACTAGGCCCATGATTCCTGTTGTTTGCTGGCTGGCAGTCCAGACTCTGCGTGGAACAGGAGAGAGAAAGTTGTGACTCCTGCTCTTGAGATGCTTGCAGTGTAGACTTAGCAGAGATGGATTCTGAGATTATGTCAGAACCAGACGGCACTATTATATGTCAAGCTCTGGATGACATTCCTGAGGCAACCAGGAAGGTGGATGAAGACTGCTAATTACCCCCAACATCCTTCCCATCCCTCTCCCTTAGTATTTAGAACCCCAACTTTTAGCTGGGTACATTGCCTTCAGATGAAAGACTACATCCCCCACACTACATTATGACTAAGTGAGGAATGTCCTCTTGGTTGGAATGCAGAGGTGATGACTGCCGCTCAAGCAGCCATTTTGGACCATGAGGTGGCATGGTCAGTATGAAGGAGCAGCATGTGGAAGAAGTCTGAATCCCAACTCTTATCTGAGCACATTGTAATCCGGATCACCCCCCAACCCCAGTTAGCTGGGCATATTCCTCATCTTCTCTTGCAGCTAGATGTGGCTATGTGCCTAAATTTTGGCCAACAAATTTTAGGCAGATATGTTGCATGTCTCTTCCAGAAAACATCCTAGTGGCTGGGCCATGCCCTCTGCTGTGGACTGAATGGTGTCCCCCCAAAAATTCATATGTTGAAACCATCACCTCTAGTGTGATAGTATTTGGAGATGGGGCCTTTGCGGGGAGATGAGGTTTGGGTGAGGTCATGAGGGTGGGCCCCCCATGATGGGATTAGTGTCTCTATAAGAAGAGGAAAAGACACCAGAGTCCTCTCTCTGCCAGGTGAGGAGGACACAGGGAGAAGGCCGTCTGTAAGCCAGGAAGAGGGGACTCACCAGAGCACAACTCTGCAGGCACCCTGATTGCAGACTCCCCAGAACGGAGGGGAAGAAACGTGTGTTGTGTGAGCCCCCAGTCTGCGGTGTTTTGTTACAGCAGCGGAGCACACTGACACCGCCTCCTCTGTCGCCCGTCCGCTGGTGGGGAGCCTGGACGGCCGTGCAGGTCAGGCAGGGAGCCTGCTGACGGTGCAGAGGCAAAGCACCGGGCGGCGTTCCGTCCGGGCTGGGGCGCCTCCCCCTGCCCCCCAGCTGTCTTTGATTTGCAACATGTTCTGAGATACAGCATCTGTCTGAAACCTGCACGTGTCTGGCTTTTGCTCTGGTTTTCCAATGAAAGAAGAAGGAATTATTTTGCCTGAAAATTCTTACCCCACAAGCTAATACACATTTTCCAGCTCTCATCTTCCCCAAATAGGCTATGTCGCTTGAGGCTTCCCCAGTAAATTATCACACACGGTGGCTTAAACCAACAGAAATTTACTCTTTCACGGTCCTAGAGGTCGGTAGTCTGCAGTCAAGATGCCGTCAGGACCATGCCCCTCTGCAGCTTTTAGGAGGGAGCCTGCCTGCCTCTTCCAGATCCTGGGGGCTCCAGGCGTCCCTTGGCTTGTGGCCGCCCCCTCCCATCTCTGGCGCCATCATCATGCGGGCTTCGCCTCTTCCCTGTGTCTCCCCCTGTGTGTCTCCTGTAAGAGCGCTCGCCACGGGATTCAGGGCCTTTGGGTAATTTGGGTTCAGGGTGTGTTTGGATCGTCCAGGACAGTCTCCCTCTGAGGTTCTTAATTGAATCTGCAAAGACCCTTCCCAAATAAGGTCACATGGAAGGATTCTGGGGATTTGACACGGACATGCCTTCTGGGGGCCTCCTACTGGCTGGCCACCGTGAGTCAGCGTAAACAGAACACAAACGGCCTTGGAGAAGGCCTTCCAGACCCCGGAAGTCCCCGGCCAGCCTGTGGCGGCCCCAGGAGGCTCCCAGGCTCCTCCCTGCGGCTCAGACGCCCCTGGGCCTGCTATGCCCAGCGCAGCCTGCAGCCGCACACCTGGACCCGCCTCCCAGCCTGGCTGCAGGGGCTCGGCCACGGACTTGGGCGGCCCCTGGGCTGAGATAAATCCTTCTGGGTGCTTCCCCAGCTGCTCCTGCTCCTCTCTGCCCCCCGCCTCCCACCCCAAGCGCCGCACTGCTGTCGGAGGATCCGCTGGGCTCAGGGTCCTGAGCGCTCCTTTGCCTGGAGGGGCTCCTGACCGCCCCTCTGGCACCTGGTGCCCTGGACCCCTCCCACCTGCATGCCTCCTCACCTTCTGGGGTCCCCTGCCGTCACCGGCTCTCCTCCCCCAACACTCGGGAAACTGGTGTTGGCAGTGTTTTCTTTCCATGGGTTTTCTCAACCCTCCTACCCCTCAGGGTCAGCTTGGGGCCCCAAGGGGCAGATGCGTGGAGGAGGTAGGCACCTCAACCCTAGAGTCAGGCCAGCCTTGGATTCCTGCCACCCCCCAGCGAGTGGGAGCGGACCTCAAGCCCACGGGAGGGGTCCCCTAACATGGAGATGCTTTCTCAGTGCCCCCTTCCCAGGGTCATCCCTGTCAAGCCCTGACCCCCCTCCTCTCTGCCCCTCAGCCTCCTGCAGCGGCCTCACACCCTCGTCAGCAGTGCCCCCGGCAGTTGTGCAAAGGGACACTTCTCACCAAGACAATCGCAAAGCCTCCCCAACTTTCCTCTCTCCCTGGCCCCAGTCCCCACCCCTCCATCCTCCTCCTCACTGCCAGTCCTTTGGGACCACCTAGGGGACCACCGCTCAGGAGCCCTGCATGAGGTCCAGCCCCTCTGGTGGCATCTTCTCTTGTCCTGGGGGTCACACGACCAGCCCAGGCTGCAGCCAACCCACCCTGCCTGTCACTTCCAGAAGCCACTCCCTGGCACCCTCGTTGCACCCTGTGAACCTGCAACCTCGCTCCCCACCCTCTACCTAAGCTCCTAGGGCCTGTCCCTGACTTCGCAGCCAACTAGGTACCTCAGACGTCTCCCTGCTACCTCTACCATGTCCCTGCAACAAGCAGAATCCCACCAGACGGGAGAACTTTCAGGAGAGTTCCCGGACTGGAAGCCCCCGGGGCAGCAGCAGGGATGGGACCACCCAGGGTCGCACGGGCCCGGACCCCAAGCCCTACCCCTCCCTCCTCCCCCCCAACCTCTGCAGGTGCTCCCAGCAGCCGAACCCTCCAGCGAGTCGCCCTGCAGGGGGGCCTGGGCAACAGGGTGAGGAAGTGACCCCTTGGGGACTTACCACAGAGCAGGAGAATGAAGCCAGGCCAAGTGTGCCGCCCAGTTTCCCTGGAGCAGAGACGGGGTGGAAGGAAGCCACTCTCAATCGCCGAGGGAGCACGCGCAGCTCTTGGCTTTCCGGGGGCTAAATGACCCATGTTCTCGAGAGCTAGTGCTTAGAACTGAGATGCCCACATGGCCGTAGCCGCGGCTGGGAGCAGAGCCACTCATCTCCATCGCCGCCCCAAGACAGGTTCCCGACACATCCGACTTGGAAGTCGTTGGTTCCTTCAGTTGCTGCCCCCCGTGTTTCCCCTTTGCTGGACCAGGATTGGAAGAGGCTGGGGACACCTCTTCTGCCTTTGGACTGGGCTGTGGCCACATACAGGCAAACCAAGACCTCAGGTTCCCTGATTCCTACCTGTGTGGCCCCCTTCCAAACAGCCCGGGGGGTGGGTCCATGTCCACGGCCAGGCCCGCCCCAGGGACTGCCTTTAGGGTAAGAGGCAGAGTGGACCAGCGTGATGTACTGCCTCCAGCCATACCTACTGTGACTGCCCTGCGTGGATGGCCCTGCAGCCATCAGGACCAGTCCTACTACTGTTAGTGCCCGGCCACGACCCCACTGTATTACTGTCAGTGCTCAGCTGCCGTTAGGACCAGCCCCATTGCTGTCACTGTCACTACTCAGCCTTGTTGGCCAGGGCCACCCCGCTAGGTGGTCTGTAAATCCTTGAACAGGAAGGGGTACCTGT